GTTATTGAATTGACTGCACCCGGCTTATCCTCTCGTTATTGGTTGCACGCATCCGGAGACGCCGATGCGGCACTCACGGGTCAAGCTGGTGTAGGTATCATTCTCAGCTCCAAGGCTGAGTCATCGTTGGTTGATTGGATTCCGGTGAACAGCCGTTTATGTGCAGCCCGTTTGACGACATCAGCTAAGGTGAATTCGCGAAGTAAAACAAAACGCTGTTTGTTTGTGATTTCTGCTTATGCTCCCACGGACTGCAGTTCTAATGCTGTCAAGGACATTCTATCACGAACTGAACGCGCTATTACTCAGTGCTACTAGTTCAGATATTATAGTACTTGCAGGGGATATGAACGCACAAGTAGGGCGTCTGAGCTCTTCAGAAGCTCAGCTGGGTGGTAAGTATGGACTTAACGCCGAACGGACTGACAACGGCGAGCGTCTGCTGCAACTGTGTGCGGAGCACCAGTTATTTCTTACTAGCACTGCTTTTAGACACAGTGGGCGCCGAAGTGCCACTTGGCGTCCACCTGTAGCTGGTCAGCGATGGACCCAAATTGACCACATAGCCATAAGTTACAGGTGGCGCGGTTCCATTCTGGATTGCCGCTCGTACTGGAGTACCTGTGTCGACTCTGACCATGCCTTGGTGCGCTGTCGTTTCTCCATGAACTTTACCGGAAGGCACACAAAGCGTCTCGTCCGATTGGCAACGGAGAAATTGTCCCAGCCCTCTGTCAGGCAAGCCTATCAAGAAGCACTGCATAGTGAACTCTCGCTGTCTTGTCCTAATGATACTGAACTTCAGTGGAATAGGATCTCGGCCACTATGCACGACGCAGGAGCATCTGCTTGTGGCACTATCAGTCGTCATCGCACCAGTCACTGGATATCCGAGAGGTCCGTGAACCTTTTGGAAGCTAGAAGGCACCTCCCGGCTGGTTCTGAACACAATGTGACCAGACGGGCTATTAGGCGTGAACTAAAGCGGAGCCTACGTGCTGACAAGGAAGCCTGGTGGACCAGTAGGGCTCAAGAAATGGAGGAGGCAGGAGCAGTAGGCAATTACCGCAAGCTCTTCCAGCTAATCCGCACCACTGGTCCCAGGAAACCTGGCGTCAGTGAGACAATCAGGGACAGCGCGGGTGCGCTGATACACAATAAGGAGCGCCGTATGGCTCGTTGGGCTGAGCACTTTGAACATCAGTTCAGCTGGCCCCCTGCTCCCGGACCTCTTCCTACTCAGGTGATGCAGGACGAGCCATGGACGGTTAGTTTAGAGCCTCCGTCGGAGGCCGAGGTCCGAAACGCGATCACAGCCCTCAATCGTTTTCGTGCCGCTGGCCCGGATTCCCTCCCACCTGCACTATTTAAGGATGGAGGTGAGGTCCTCTGCAAAGCACTGACCTCCCTATTCGAACGTATCTGGAACGAAGAGAATGTGCCGGCTAATTGGAGCGAATCGATTATAGTGGCAATATACAAGAAGGGCAGTCGCACAGACTGTGCTAACGACAGGGGTATTAGCCTAACGCCAGTTGTGACAAAATTACTGGCCTCGATTCTCGTTCGTCGGCTCACTGCAGAACGGGAATCTCGGATTAGAGAAGAGCAGGCCGGTTTTCGCCCAGGACGTGGCTGTATAGACCATATATTTACTTTGCGGCAGGTGCTAGAGCAGCGCCACGCATACCGCAGACCGACAATAGCTGTGTTCCTCGATTTCAAGAGTGCGTTCGATTCGGTCGATCGATCGATTCTGTTTGAAATACTTGTGCGGAAAGGTGTTCCCACGAAATATGTGAACATCCTTCGTGCTCTATACTCGAACACTACAGGCCGCGTCAGGGTCTATGGTGCCCTATCGGATAGCTTTTCGACTACAAGTGGCGTTCGACAGGGTTGTCCGATTTCCCCATTTTCGTTCAATTTCGTCGTGGATTCTATCATGGAGTGTTCCCTTGCGGAATCTCACGATGTAGGTGTTGAAGTGCTGCCTGGTGAACGGTTAGTTGATCTAGATTATGCGGACGATATCGTCTTGCTTTTCGACAATGTTGAGGCGGCACAGTCAACCCTGAATAGCCTATCCAGAGTGGTTCCATTATTTGGTATGCACTTCGCACCTTCAAAGTGCAAAGTGTTGCTGCAGGACCACCAGCCACTCGATGACCCCTTGACGCTTGCTAACGAGGAACTCGAGGTGGTTGATCAATTCACTTATCTTGGCAGCTGCATCAGCAATGATGGGCGCATAGAAACTGACGTGAGCTCACGCATTGCAAAGGCCAGAGCTGCCTTCTTGAACCTGCGTCATCTTTGGCGACAGAAGGGAGTTTCCCTCCGTCTGAAAGGCCGTGTATACAAGGCCACAGTGAGAGCCGTTCTGCTGTATGGTAGTGAGACTTGGCCCCTTCGGTCTGAAGATCTGAGGCGCCTTCAAGTCTTTGGTCATCATTGTTTGCGAAGCATTGCTGGTGTCGGATGGCACCAGCGTGTCCGCAACGATGATGTGCGTAGGCGAGTACTAGGTGGTGATAATCATGCTAGCTCCCTAGAACAACAGATAGCACTGAATAAGTTGCGTTGGCTCGGGCACGTGCTACGCATGCCTGGTCACCGCTTACCTAGGAGGGCCTTGTTCAGTCTACCAGGTGTCGGATGGCGCAAGGCTCGAGGTGGACAGAAGTTGACTTGGCAGCGTGAAATGAAGTCACTGACGACCAAACTGGGTGCCGTTGGTCCGTCTCGCCTTCCGGGTTGGAGTCCACGTGACTCACCTTGTGCTTGGCTCGAGACTTTACAGGACATGGCTCGCAATCGACACTAGTGGCGCGTCTGCTGCCGTCTCCTAATCGGATTGTCTGTTTAAAGTGTGTTTGGTGCTGAGTTATCTGCGGGGTAATGGCTGATTATGACGCGTGGCAGTGAAAGCCGCAAGGAAGCTGTCTCGCCGATGCCGCCTTATCTTTGCACGATAGCCAGGTGTTTGTGACGGTATGTTGTCTACACAAGGTGTAGGCGCCTTGACCCTGAATGTTTGCTTAGGGCATTAAGGTTTTCAGGTAAGTCCCCCTTCTCTCCCTCTTCTTATTCTTTATTTCATAGGTCCTCATGGTTGTATGGCAGCGAAGCATCAGTTCAATTGGCTGATGTACTGCTGTTGATGATGATGAAAGTCCATGGACAACACCAATAGGCTTTACGAAAACAGCCTTTGTATGCTTTGGGCGCTCAGGCGCAGCTTCAGCACTTGGTCCGAAGAGATTGCCACTCGCCTCTTCGTCTCAATACTACGACCTATGGTAGTGTATGGCTCCCGCGTATTGTCCTGTCGCCCGGGACGAGGTAGAAAAGATTGAGCTAGTACGGCATGTGGCCACCAGGCTGGTTCACATTTTACGAGGTCTGCCGTACAAAGGCCGGTGTAAGAAACTAGCGCTTTACACCCTAGCTTAGCATCGACTGCTGGTTGACCTCATCATGACGCACCGGATATTACATCTGAGTGATTACCCCATGTTATGACCGCTGCTTCCTCTGCGCACACCAAGCAGAGCACACTAGGACACCGGTACAAGCTTATAGTACCGGATTTGAAGCGGGTCGCTCACCAACTCCGTTTCGAATGGAGAGTGATGACTATGTGGAATAACCTGCCGCAACACGTAGTTGGGACAAAGTCCGTGTTGGAATTTGAGAAATTCCTGGCCAGACTACCGATAAATAATATCGAGCGCACTCCAACATAACGGGTCTTTATCCCTGAGTGACATTAGCTACAACTACACAGAGGTATCTCTTCTTGCTGCTTCCAACCAGTAATCGTGGAGGCTACCTTGCCGGCGATGTGTGTGTGGCTACTGGTTCATGTTTCGCGCTAGATAGAACCGTCTTCTATGGCGTCAAAAGGGTGTTCCCATTGATCTGCAAGGCCGTGTGTACGATGTCCCGGTGGAGGCTGTCCTACTAAATAATTGTGAGATAGATCCCTTTCTGTCTGATGATCTAAATCGCCTTAACACTTTTTGACCCTCTTTTCTTGCGAAGCATTGCTGCTGTCAGATGCCACTAACGTGTCCACGGCGGTGCTTTGCGTAGGTGAGTTATAGATCGTGATATTCAGGTTATTCCTTGGGGCACCAAGGCTGTTGAATATGTTACGTTGGCTTGGACACGTGCTACGTATCACCATTCACCACTTACCGGGTATAACGGTGCTTTGCTTGCCGGTTTTCACAGGCCCGGACATGGGTGACCGTTGTATTAGTAGCGGGATGTAAAGTCGTTGCCGACTAAGCTAGTCCCTGTGGATCTGTTTCCCCATCTATGCTGAAGTCCACGCGACCCATCTTACACTTGGCTCGAGACTACGCAAAACATGGGTCACAGTCGGTACTTGGGGCACTCTTTCTACCGTCTGGTTGGAATGCCTTTTTAGATATATGTTGAACTGAGTTACCTGGGGTATTGTCTGATTATGACCAGAGGCAGCGAAAGCTGCAAGGAAACTGTCTAGCCGATGTAACCTTCGCATGATAGGCAACTGCTTGTTACGGTATGCTACTGACAAGGTATACTCGTCTTTACCCTAAACGTCTGTTTAGGGTATGTAGGTAGTACACTGGATCTACCTCTTTCCATCCTTACTCAGGTCATTTTGGTTGTACTGCAAAATCTGCGCGTTCACTGTACATACTTTGCTCCCACTGCTGAAAGCAAAATTATTTCACCCATCGCTTCGTTCTGTGGAGCACTGATTCGCACCGGTGCAATTATTGTCGCATGATCGGTATCAGCTCTCGAAATGCTAAGCGTACAGCGTCCTTCCCAGTACAGGATGACACCCACCACTTTTTTGTTCATTACGTTCACTGGCATTCTGTTTATCACCCTTAATCTCCACCGATATTGCATCTGTTAGTTAGTATAAGAGTGCATTTCACTGTCTTCTTTCAACTTCTTCTCCTTGATTTTCATTTACTATCTTTTTATGCTTTCAGAAATATACACAAAGCCGGCCTATTGTTCTTCTGATTTCCCTAAACGGCATCAAAGTTTGTCGGGATGATGATCAGGTACGTTGACGTTTGCGGACATTTATTTTGACATCTCTTTTTACTCTTGCTCGCGCTCATCTTTTGTACGATCAAAAGTCCGGTGAATGTTTTCCTTCAATTTACTCCTTTATGTCCGTGTTCCTACTGTATCAAATTTGTTTAGGCTCTTACTGTTGACTCTGTGTCTATTTACTGGACCATTGTGATTGCTGCTACAATACTTGTTTCCAAATATCATTAAGCAATCACACTACTGGGTCTGTCAACTCAACTATCTGGAGACTGGGTGGGCTGTATCATAGAAGAGATTGCCTCACGCACCAGCACGCCGCTCAGTTTTCCTGATTCATCTCACCGTCGTCACCATGAACACCAACAACAGTAGTGAACCAGTACGTTGTGCCTGGCTACCATACGGTGACAGATCAGGAGAGATATGCTTAGTAACACAGAATAAGGAAGATAGATACATTGTAAAGTCTAAATACTCTAGGTATCCGCACCTTCCGGTGATTGAAAGGTTTACACGCCTGCTTTGTAATCCGGAGGTCGCCCGTTCTAGCCTGCGTAGGTGACTGGGCGACCTTCACAGTATCCCTAGCTCACTCGCGACCGGTGGTGGTTGCGTTGCAGCAAAATGTCAGTGGTGTGTACCGGCTTGCTGATTCTGCCTTCTGCTCATACCAGCAACCCTGGATCGCAAATAGCTGGCGACCACTCGAAGCTTCCGCGGCGTCTGCGAGACGGCTTTTTCTTGGCTTCTGCTGTCACGCGCTCCACCATGCTCACTTTAAATAGAGGGTCCGACTAACAAACGACAATAAGCACACCAATGTTGCCAATTTTAAAAGCCATATTCTCCAAGATCTTGAGCCAAACATTGCGTGTACCATAAACCAACCACCATGGGAAACAAGATAAGCCGATTGTATCCGGTTTATCAGTGGGTAACTTCATTCTCAGCCTTGAAAACAAGATTTACTCCCCATCTCCCCCAGAATAACACAACGTAGATGTGGTAAACCCCTATTTACTTGTGAAGTTGAGTTTATATCAGTCTATCGATCAGTGTTTAGCGACAGACCGTCTGGCGTTGCATTGGAATACTTAGTGGGCTGCAGCTACCTACACGAGTCAAGTCATAACATTCGCAGATCCGGTAGGCAACCGCCGCGACTCTTATCATTTACCGATATTTCTCCGAGATGACCGATCGAAGGTTTTACCAAATAACATGAATCCGTTGGCCGAACTTCCTGTTAATGCTTGTACATGCTCTCTCGATGAGGTCCTCGAATTGGTCGCGTTAGCAGCGGGATGTCTTTCCGGATATGGTGTGTTTACCATTCCAGTGTCACTTCCCATTGTTCCCTTAATGCGCAAACATCCTATTTTACCAGCTGAGTTGGACGAGAATGCTCAGCAAGCATTTTCAGCTTGCACAAATAATGAGTACCTTCCACATCGCTCGACGTTTTCCGCCTTGACTTATCTTAGTCTTCATTAACGCAGCAAAAAGACATAGGTTGCGATATGTTAACATTTCGATTGCTCTCGTCAGTCGCTACGCAATACAGGCAGAAGGAAACACGCAATAAATAGGGTCCACACTTAGTAACATAGATAAGCAGATACAATTGATGGGAATGACGTAATCAGGTCCAAGGCAATCTAATTGATTGCCTCAATTGTTTCTGGGCACAGAGCACGGGACAATTCAACCTTATCAGTAGCGCCTCCCCATTTGCCAACAACGTCGGGTTCCTGTTGCGCAATAGCATCTTGAATGAATCGACTGGGTTCACCTGATGACGAGTCGTCATTAGGTGTTTGGTGATAGACGAGGCAGGATTCCGGTTCATTCTTTGGTCCGCTCCGCCTTGGTTAGACAGCAACTGCCTTAGCCACAATGGAAGTGTTTCGCCACTCTTTGAGCCAGCCGGCGACCAGTCTTGCCTATGTAAGTGTCACCGCAACTGCAAGTGAACTGGTAGATGATGTTATAGGCCGAACTGATTGGCGAGCTACTCGGACGGCTGTGGAGAGGAATCCTTCGTGTAGTGTGGATAAGTCGTAGTTGGGCGGTAGAGTAGGTGCGCATTAGAGAAGACCTGCGCTTGTGGCCAACTTCATTTGCCACGTGATCCCCCTTGAACGATAAGAACAAATAAACATCCTTCTCCGCTGTTTGTACTGACAGCTTCTCCTCGGGGATTCTGCTATGGGTCTGAATGAATTTCTCCGGATACCCATTGGCTAGCAAAGTCCGGTATAAAATCTCTTCTTCAGCCATGAGCAATTCCGAACTGAAAATCCGCCTGGCCCTGTAGAAGAGAGCTTTTACCTGATCGCGCTTGTATGCAACTGGGGTGAAGCTGGAAAATGTAGGTATTGTCGCCCCAGGTCGCTTCTCTGTACACAGTGCGCTGCCGTGTGCCATCGGTCCTTCTCTTGATGAGCAGTCTGTTCTCTTGTTCCCTCTTGTCTGCTCACCTCCAAATATAACCGGTAAATTGTACGCACTTTACGAGGAGTTTTTTAAACATTTATCTTCTCAGCACTATTTTCCTCCTGTTTTTTGTTCTCTGGGACTTTTCACCTGTTTTTTATTTATCACCCTTTTGCCGTATTTTACGCGCACCCTGGGGAACACTTCCTCTTCCTGTTCAGCCAGTGTCTATATCGTATAGTTCTTTTTTGGCGGTCATAAACGCATTCTTCTCCACAGAGTATCGAACTGTGGTTGGTTATGCCAGCTTGATAACACTTTGTTCATTCTCAAAGCATTGCGCATTCGTACTTTGATTTTCCGGTGCCTATATAGTATCACATTTGTGACCAGTTGTACCTTACCTGAGGGATCCGTGTGTTTAGTTTCCGACTATTTTTCGACTGCTCTACCTATTACCTCGTTTTCCTTCCGTAGCATGTTTATATGGCCCACGCACTACGGCGGATTTCGTACGCTACCTGTGACCCCGAAAACTTTCAATTTGCTTTCTTAGCCAGAGAACCAAAATCGGAGCCGAATGTACAATATTGTCATGCTTTTGTTACCAACACCGCGGAGGAGGTAAGTCATTGTTTCATCACCACTGTGATCGCTTTTCTCTCCCGGTATGTCATACACCCTGACACAAATGCTCTGTTGTTGTTGTTGTTTATAGCCTCTTGTCCTTAAGGATCACAAGCCTGCCTCGTTATCCTAAGGTCGCGTCTTCGCGCTTGTGTAACGGACCGGGAGACCCTCGTAGAATCCTTAGCCCCTGCGCGACCGGTGGTGGTTGGGGGGCAGCAAAGCATCGATATTACGTGCCGGCGTACTACTGATGCCTTTCTGCTCTGTTGTTACGCTACCATCTGTTGTATTCTGCTCGGCCGCTGTTGTTGAGTTGCTGACCGGCGAAATGTGTATGTTAACTTAGTAGTTGCATAACCTCTGAGCTTACGGCCATTTTGGACACACTTCGCTAAGCATGCACTGTCGGGAGTGCTCATGAAGATAGGGTCATGGACATTAGACTAGTTTCACACTTTGAATTGAGTCAACTCAAGCCCCTATGCTTTTTATGTACCCGGATGGATGCGTTTTCAGCAGTTTACATTGGCGCTACTGTAGATGAACTAAAATAGCATCATTACAAATGCCAACTTATGTGCACGGGGAAATCGAAACTGGGTGTACGGTCACTGAGGTAAATTATTCACATTTCAATTTTATACGGCATAGCCTACCAGCCCAGTTTATCAATCGGGACGATGGTCCCCTCTATTTATAAATCACAGTCATTATACACGTTAGTAACAGGTGGAAAACATATCAGATATGGTGCCGTAATACAAAAAATAGAAAAAATGAAACAGTGGCACGCCGGCTGAGTCACCGGTAACTGATGGACATCGTTCCGGGGTGCTATCAGCCGGCTACTGTGCCGCAGAAAGGTGGTTATATTATGCGTACAAAATGAGGATTCGTCTGGATGGGAGGCCAAGCGGGAGGGGGAAAGGACAATAAAACTCACAACACAAACGCCACTGAGGTCTGCTCCTTGCCATCTCACAAGTGTGTCCAGCCAAATGTTTACATCGTATTTCGGACTCAACCATAGAGCCGAGAGGCTCCAACTGTGGCCAACTCCGAAGTAAGAGCCTTCATTCCTCTTGACCACGTCATCGCTTGGTCGCCCCTCCTTTTCCTCTATCCGTACCCCCGGCGCGCGAAAAACGCATGTCGCGGGACTCGGTGGACTGGCATGCGTAACACGTGACCGAGCCATCGGAGCCTGATGCGTGAAATAACGGTGCTGATCGGTTCGCTTCTTCTTTTTGCGCCATAAACAAGTGGCGTAGAACACGCTCGTTGCTCCCGCGGTGTTCCCACCAGATGTGAGCCAAACTGCGAATTCGCCGGTGGTCGAATGTAACTGGCCACTTTTGTCGGCTGATCTAATGGGTCAGGTTTCACAACCGTACAGTAAGCTCGAACCTGCTGCTGCATTGTGCACTCTACCCTTCAGGGCGAGAGTGATGTCGCGCTGGCGCCATAGGTGGGGAAGGTTAACATAAGTGCTTCCTGTTTTTGCTATACGGTTTGTGACCTCGTTTTCAATACCATCGGCGCTAATACAACTATCTAGATAGTTGAACTTTTGAATGGCTTCTAGCTGATCCACACCAAGCGTCAGCGCAGGAGGCGGTCGTTGCCAATCTGGGAGGACAGCTTTGCACTTTTATGGTGCAAGCATAGTCCGTAACGGTTGACAGCCAGTGCTAATCTGTCCAGCGCCCCTTGGCACGTTTGTGAGCTGTCATAGATGATGGCAATATCGTCAGCCTTCTCCCAATAAACAAGTCGTTCACCTGGAAGCTTATGATTTCATAGCCGAATTCAGGACACCGCGAACAGCATCCGTGACCTTGCAAACAGTCTAACCGAAGAGTGTCAAACATTTACTGAAAGCTGATTGGTCTGCAGCGGATACTGTAAAATAACGTTTCCGTGGAAAGGCAACAGCTGATTTGGATGCCCTACGAGGTCATAGTTTGATCGAACCATTCAGTTCAGTTTAGTTAAACAACTGGCGGAGCACCGAAGTGCGGTAGATCTAGTTGCTTAGATCACACGAATAACAGTAGATACGGCAGGATAGTTGGGTTGAATGCGAATAACACGTAGAAAATTGCAGCAAGAAGGAGGTGCGTTAGACTAATCAGAATGGAACGAAAATTAACAACCAGATGCAAGAAACCGAATACAGGAACCTCACTAACTACGTGACTACACCGTCTGATACGGTTTCCAACCATTGGTATGGACCATTCCGAGGCTTCCTTTCACGAAGACGGCTCGCGTCAGCCTGACCAAGTCTCTAAGTCAGTTTCGTCATGCCTCTATGCCACGTCATGGACTGGCCACCTCGAGGTTTCGCCCAACATGGTTCAACCACGGCGTTATATTACGTGCCGACGAACCCTATTAACCAACCTACGGAGGACATGGCCTAGCCAACGTAAACCATTAACATTCAGTAACCGCTCGAGTGAGGCACCAGAAAGCTTCTTGTCAAAAGCCAACTGGTAGACTTCAGCATTACTCACCCGGTGTTCTCACAAAATGTGAGCAATACTTCGCAAGTACCGGTGGTCAAACACGTTCAAGCGTTTAATGTCTTCGTTGCGATCTGGCCATGACTCCGATCCATACAGTAAGACCGACCTTACCGCAGCGTTATACACCCTATCTTTCACTGACAAGCTGATATCCCTACGTCTCCATAGATAGTTGATCCTTTGGAAAGCCACACGGGACTTGCTGGTGACAATTAATTGTACCACAGGCAGATGCTCCTGCGACATGCATGGCTGCTGAGATTCTATTCCACTGAATCTCAGTGTCAGTAGGACAAGACAGCGAAAGTTTGATACGCATGGCAACCTGGTAGGCTTGCCTGATAGAAGGCTGAGACGATTCCTCAGTTGCCAATCGGGAGAGAGACTTGGTGTGTCACCCGGTACAGTTAATGGAGAAACGACAGCGTATCAAGGCATGATCAGAGTCGACGTAGGTATTCCAAAAAGAGCGGCAATCTAGGATGGAACCACGCCACCAGAAACTTATGGCATTGTGGTCAATTAGGGTCCATCGCTGGCCAGCTACAGGCGGACGCAAAGTGGCACTTCGGCGACCTCTGTGTCTAAAATCAGTACTACTAAGAAGCAACTGGTGCTCCGCACACAGCTGCAGCAGAAGCTCGCCGTTGTCAGTCCGTTCGGAGTTAAGCCCATAATTACCACCTAGTTGAGCTACTGAAGTGCTCAGACACCCTACTTGTGCGTTCATGTCCCCTGCAAATTTTTTGATATTTGAACTGGTAGCAATTTGTAGTAGTGCGTTCAGTTCGTGGTAGAATATGTTCTTGGCAGCATCAGAACTGAAGCCGGTGGGAGCATAAGCGGAAATCGCAAACAAACAGCGTTTTTTGCTACTTCGTGAATCAACCGTAGTTGATGTCCTCAAACGGGGTGCGCACAAAGGCTGTTCACCAGTGTCCAATCAACCAACAATGCTTCGGCCTTGTAGCTTGGAATGATGTCTACCCCATCTTGACCCGTGAGTGCTGCATCAGCGTCTCTGGATGCATGCAACCGATAGCGAGAGGATAAGCCGGGCGCAGTTAGTTCAACAACCCCATTATGGTCATTGATCCTAGTTTCGGACACTCAACACACGTCAATACCCATTGGGTCCAAGGTGCATGCGAGTGCAACCTATTGACCGATATCTTAGAGGGCAAATATTGAACGCACCCAGGGAAGCGGATTGGCGTGGTTTTATAAAGGACTGTTCCTGATATGCGTCCGGTGGGTGTTGCGGGAAGGTGGCTGCAGATGGTTCTTCTCCAGTGCCACTTCCTTTGCTGTCAGTTAAGCTGGGGATTATTGAAGGAAGGTTAGTAATGGGGCTTGGGATGGGAGTAAGAGCAACAGGTGGAAAAGAAAGAAGGGAGGCGCCAGCAGTAGCATGTTTTGCTTATCTTACCTGCTGTATGCAGGAGATAAGGCGACCCTTGACGATCAGCGCGACGGCCGATGCAGGATGTAGTTAACGTTTGAGGAACTAATCATGGTTTTGTGTGGGCTGAGATACTGCCAGGGCGCCCAGACCTAGACAGGAGGACGATTAGGGTCCTCATCCAAAGCCTTTGGCTCAAAAGCCTGTCCGCAAGGCAGTTGGGAGGTGGCAATGGTTTAGTTTTACAGAAATGGACACCATCTTAAGTGCAACGTATATGCTGGATCGTGAAGCGCCATGCACAATTTTGTGCAGTAGGGTTTGCATAGCTATTGTATCAGACCCAAGGAGATCATTGTCGTCCGCATACTTTAGGATTATCACTTGGTCACTTGGCACAACTTTCAGTCCAAAATAGTCTGAAAGAACCGAGTCATGATCACCTTAATCACAAAGTTGAAATGGAAAGAAGCTATAGAACAACCCTGGCGAATCACACTTGTTGGGGGAACTCAAAAGAAAGCTTCTCTGAAACCCTTACCTGGCCTCACGAGTCACGGTAGAGGGACTTCAGAATGGAAAGGAGTTTAGCTGACACGCCCTTCATGATAGACAGTGCCCACAAGCTGTCCCGATCAACCGAGTCAAAGGTTGCTTTCAAGTCATGGAAAGCCACCATACTCGGTCGTCTGTATGTGTGTTTCTGTTCTAAAACGGCGAAGAGTATAGATGTGGTCGATACAACCACGACCAGATCGGAAGCCAGCTTGGATTTCAATGATTCGGTCCTACCGGAGACCAGTAAGTCGTCGAAGAATAATACCTGTGGGAATCTTTGACGCAATGGAAATAAGCCTAATGCCTCGATGATTTTCACACAAAGTACGCTGACTCTTCTTGAAGATGGGAACAACAATTGACAGTCGCCAGTCTGAAGGCACTTTTTTCGTGTCCCAAATCGTGTTAAAAGGAGACAGACAACAAAGAGTCACCATCATCTTTCAACAAAGATGGGGGAAGGTCAACAGGCCCAGGAGCCTTGTTTCGTTTCAACACGGAAA